TAAATTTCCCCATGGCCTGTAAAGAGAGGGCTCTGGCATGTATGCAAAGAAAAAGGATCCAGGCTGTATTTCTTATTAGTTAAAAAAGAATCTTCTCACCTCGTGCAGCTACTCATAAGGCACCACTTAATTTATTTATGATGCTGATTATTTATATTAACACAGGTGTCATGTGAAGGGCTGTAACCAAGGATTCACTGATTCATTATTAAGTCAAATGTAGAAATTTGGAGGAAATTGTCATCACAAAGAGGCAATACTGACTACTTCGAATGACCTTTTTTTTTGTCCAATGTTTTCTTTTTTTTTTTAAATATCACGGTGAGGGCGCCATTTGCAAAGCGGTTGCAAAGAAAGGTGGCGGCACAGGTTTGAATCCAACTTGTGTCTCCTTTCCTGCAGGTCATTTCCCTCTCTCTCTCTCTCTCTCTCTCTCTCTCTCTCTCTCTCACTATCTACTGTCCAATCTCAATATGTGCACCAAGCTGTAACAGTTTCAGTTTTTACCCACAAAAACACAGACAGTATTTGTTTGCGCGATCAGTCCTAAGGGAGCACACGAGTGGTAAAAAAAAGGGAAAGCTGATGGTTGCTTTCACTGATCACAAGGCCACCTGCAGTGCTGTGAACACGTGCAGTTATATGACTGATTACATGACACACTTGAGTGCTTTTTATTTTCAACCGCAGCAAGCACTACCCACTAACACCACCTTTCTCTTCACTGTGGATGTGAACAGGAAGTTGCTGTTTTGAGTGCAGCAATGTGTCTTTCCTTTCAGAGGTCCACTGCACAGTGCCTGTTGTGTGTGATAAAGTTTTCTATTTTGTGTCACACTATTTTAACCCCAGAAACCTCTCTTGCATGAGGCCTAGCTTGCAAAGCATTAATGCACAGCCCCACATTATCATACTGAGCATTCTTGTGCATGAGATGAGAGCAGGAAGAGAGACCTTCGCTCACTCTGTGCTCTGCATGACGCCTGTGGCACTGACAGTCATACTAAGCAGCAACACACCATAAAGAACTGGATTTCAACATCAGTGTTTAAAATATTCATGTCAGAAGTGAGAGCAGGGCTGAAATGAAGAGGATTTTGCGCAACGATCAGAGGAAGTGGAGCCTCTTCATGCTGCTCCTCTCAGCTATGATACCCGCACACACACACACACACACACACACACACACACACACAACGACATGACCCTGTTTCAGGCGACTTTCCTTTTTAATATCATGTCACTCTAACAGGACCCAACGCCTATGGGAGAATGAGACCTAGATGTTAATTCTCCTGGGTTTTGTACAAAGAATATTGTGACAAGATACTTTCAAATTAAAATCATATTGCGTAAGATCAGGAAGATAAGGTTCAAGTGTAAGATATGAGAGAATTCATTTTTGCAAGTTCAGCTGCTTAGAAACTGATTTGCCTTTGTCAAATTCCCAACTCCATGCCCTAGAAAGAAAGGCAAATGAGCTTGCAATGCAAATTAACATAAAAGACGAGTCTTTATTCTCACCAGGTGGTTCAGCCTGTTTACTTTGTTCTGAATCGTGCCATTAACTAATAAGGCTTCCACCAGTCATTTAGTTGTAATGTGGACCATAGTTTTGTCCTAATACACTCTGTAAAATCACATGAACGTACTTATCTGAGTACATTTACGTTATTCTGTAAAATAACATCAGTAGGGCCCACATGTCGGACTGAAACAGAGTCACAGGCTTTATTCTGATGCAGGTACCTAATCAAAGGTACATCGATTAACTGCAGTTTGAAATGGAAAACAATGTGGGCTGTACATAACCTTTTTTTGAATACTGCTGAATATGATGTTCGTGTATATCCAATCAGGTTATCTTTAGCCCATCTCCTCCAGAATAACAATGGCAGGAGGTTGTCCCCAACAGGGTCATTATGAGCCCGCTCAGAGAGGGACAGTGACATGTACTCTATATCCCCACAGGCTGAATTGAGATGGTTAAAATATTATCCCACTGTATGTTCAGGTGCTTAATGATGAGGAGACAGGTGAGTGTTAAAAATAGTTATAATGGGCTGATTTGAGTACACCAGACTCCCAGGAGTGTACCTTTCCTCAGCCTTTATCTGGAACACTTCCCTGATTCAAATACATGCCAACATGCATAGAAGTGTGCCACTAAATCAGGACTTGTGGAGGAGATTTTGTGTTAACTGTGTCATCGTTTCCCCTAATTTTCCCCAATCTGCCAGCGGGAATAAATCATCCATGTCCAATATACTGAAGTTTTCCTAATATGGGTGTCAATTAGTGCAAGAGGGCTACTGTGGCCACAGCTCTACAGCCTGCAAACTGGGCTGCCGCAGGCAGCACAATGCATTAGCGCACGATGAGCTGTCAGAGAGGATTATTTCAGCCACGCCAGTCAGCGAAGGGGGTGGGCGCCGCTCTGCTGCACTAAACCAAGGAGAAAGAGTGGGCGGAAGACAAGAGAAAGGAAGAGAAACACACAGAGGAAAGAGGGAAAGAGAAGAAAGTGTCCATTACACCGGGTGGATTTTTCCAGAGCACCGATGTTGGAACATTCTTCTGAGCTGGCCCTGGTGCAGAGTTTGTATGCCAACAGCATGCGCTGTCCCCCCTCTGCGGCCGGGATCTCAGTCAGGAATGAGGACCTGCCTATGAGGTACGTTGAGGTTGGCCCCACATTCAAATCTGGGCTAGCTTTTGTGGAGCAGCCTGTATTTGGACTGCTTCTTTGTCCAGGCTGAATATTGTGATAGGATGTATTGTTTCCAGTTGAGCCGCTCTCCCATGCTGTGACTGTGTGAGTGTGGGAAGGGTGGTGTTCTTCTGCGGTCCCCATAGGTTTTCCTTTTCAAGGAGCCCAGAAACTATGTATTTGGGTCTAATGAATATGGATGTATAAATCAATATAATCTTCACTTGATTCAATCAGGAGGTAGTGGATTTGTTCTAAATTGTAACAAAACACAAAAATCAATACCTTATAGGATTCTGGTGTCATTTAATTTACCTTGCTCCCTTTTCAAAGTTCCACTCAGGACTCAGACGCTTGCATCAACTACAAAAGAGTGAACGATGAATTTGTCAGTAATGCAGATGTTTGTCTCTGAATGAGTCAGGCCACAGAAAAACACAAACCAGTGTGACGAGATATCTACTGAAACGAGTCCTGGCTTTATAGAATCCTCAGTCAAAAAGCAAGAGATATTAATAATCTTTGAAAGAACAGGATGCAGCATTTACATCTACAACAGAATTTGCATTGATTTGGAAGAACTGCACCCTGATAACGCAGTGTTATCATGTGTGCTCAGTACACCTTGACACAGTAGAAGTTCTCTCCATTTTGAGAGCCCTTCAGTTGGTCGCCATTCTGCACATTTTTCACAAAAGGCTGAGCTAAGAAAAAGTGTGCCTCGAAGTTCAAGGCGACGTGTTCAAGAAGATAGAACGTGGCCTGTATGGATTTAACGCTGTCCTATTTTAATGCTGCACTGTTTGTCACGGAAAAGGGTGCAAATTTAAATGCTGGATGTTGAGGTCTGGCAAAAATGATTTGAGTTCTGCTACAGTAAGGGGAAAACATTTGATGTAAACAACAACAAAAGCATGGTACATAGGGAGGATTATGATAGGATTACAGTAGTGATAAACTCAGATTAAAATAGGACGTTAGTATTAGAAGGTGCCAGCAACTCGGCATCAGCCTCTGGAATTCACACCAATAAAAATCTCTTAGAAATGCAAAGGAGATGCGAAGTCAAATGGTAAAAAAAAATAAACCATGTATGTGTTGATCAAACCCACAAGGAAAAGAGGAGCTGCTCCTTTTACATCAACTCTATTCAATAAAATCCCCTGAGATCTAATTGAGTCTAAGAAAATATGTGGATGCCACGGGTGGGATGACATTATTGTGTTTTTCCTCCATTTTAATGAAACCTGATTCTCCTGAGAGGTTTTGACTAGCTTTTTATGGCAGCCCCTCAAGCTTAATGCAAATGCATGTTGCAAAGTGGGCTTGTCTGCATGTATGGCAAAATAGGTTGCATGTGACATTATGCATACAAGCCTCTTTTAGGCACTGTTTAACAGAGCACACGCTGCACTGGAGCCAAGTTAAAATTGCCATGGTTACAAGGATTATGTTGGATCTCATGAATAGGATGTTTCTTAACACTTGCTATGGATGATATTTTTGGATTGTGCAGTTGCTGGTGTAATATTGAATTGGTTCGATAACTAGGCTCTCTCCCATCCCCTGCCTCTCTGCTATGGCAAACAGCACTTAACACCCCCCCCCCCCACCACCCCACCCTCCCCCAAGTGTAGAGGCCTCGCCCAGCAAATCCAGCACAACAAAAGAAGATAGGCTCTCCCTCCCCCTGGGGAACAACAGCCCAGCACAAAGGGGAAAATGACCTATGACCCTGGGGAAAAGCAACTCAGCAAGACTAACTGCAATTTAACTATCTCACTTTGGATTGGAAGAGATTTACAGACCTAACACAATAAAACTGTACATAGTAGTATTCACTTGACTAATCAAATCCAAATAAAAAAAACCTGGTGTTGAAATTAAGACTTTTAAGAGACAAAAACGGAAACAGGAGCAGTAGCCTATATTTAATCTCGATGATTACATGGGTACTCAATTTTAACACTTTAAAATGACTCCCTTATCAGAATCTGTGCGCTCCAGACTCCTCTTACTCAACCAGCCTGCACAATGAGGCCGAAAGGGATCTGCATTATTTTTTTTTAATCAGCCATTATCAGTATCATCAGATAAAAACACCCTATACTGTATAAACTCTATTTGAGACCACGTGCCAGACCCTATGGAGATATTACGATATTTTTTTTTTTTACATCGGTGGTGGGAGCGTCGAGGGTCGAGAGAGAGAGAGAGAGAGAGGCAGCATGGTTTCAGACTTTTTGTTGAACAGGCCACGCCTCTGGTTTGCTGCAGCTCCGTGTGACAGCGGGCTCGCCTCATTTTATTTCAGTCGGGAGACGCGAGAGAGACATTTGGAGGAAGGAATAAGGCGGATATCGGTGCCCCCTCTCTCTCCCATGCAGTTTTGAAGAAGACGCCCCCCCCCACCCCACTCCCTGCACCTGTTCGGCTTCGTCTCGTTTAGCCTCTTGTGAGCGGACGCTGCTTCTCATTGTTAAGATAGCTTGACGTTGTTTTCAAGATGACTTCGACGTACAACCTGGATTTCCACCCTTTAACCGAAAGTCGGTTATTGACTACGGGGGACACAATGTAAGTAACCAAAAACTACCGATACGCATTGCGTAACCATCTTTTTTGTGTGTGTGTGCGCGCGTTTGTGTGTGTGTGTGTGTGTCCGCAAGCAACTGCAAATAATAGTTCAGCGAGTTAGCTTACGTTAGCTACCGGGAAGCTAACATTGCTAATCATGACGAGCTGTGACGGTGCGCTCACCTGGAGTTAAATTAGTTTGTCTAACTTGGGTCAACAAAGCGTTGACCGCAAGTTAAGTCTGTTTAAAAACACTCGCCACTACTTTTAAAAACTACAATTAAAGCAGTCGCAGTGTTTGCTGACACATTGCTCGAAGTGAATTTGCTTGTCGACGGTGTGAGACACTGGGCGCGCTGCGTGCAGTCAAGTGACATGTGCTTCCGGAGATCACGCGTTTCAGTATCAGTAGAGACAATTTAAGAAAAACAAAAACAAAAAAAAACACCCATTAGGGTTCAGAAACAAAAGGGTTGTGTGCAGCTTTGTGTGTAATCGACTTTCACCGCCGCCATCTGATTGCTTTCGTGTGGTTGTTTGAGCAGAACCAGGTCCTCCTTTTTTTTTTTTTTTCCATTTCAGTATCAATAAAGGGAAGTGCGTTGAGCATACAGTAACCCAGTTAAACTTGATGTTAAAGTGTGCTGAAGCTGTAATGTGTTGCCAGATCTAACACCCATTTTTTATTTTTTATAATTTCATTTGTGTTTGAAGCCTTTTAAATGAAGTGTGGAGGCAGCACACACACACGGGCTCGGCTGGACTCGCTGACCCTCCCCGTCTTTCTGCTAGCAGCTAGCATCGTTAGCCACAGCAGCCGTTCCCAGGCTTGTGGTGCCTGCCCCCCCCTCCTCCTCCCCCCGTCCATGTTGAGTGTAGAGAGTGCTGACTGAACGGCAGAAAACACGTGGTTTGCTACATTATTGAGCCATTAATGGAAACCTTGTGACACGACATGTAAACAAGGGAGGGTGGGGTGGGGGGGGCATTCACCAAGCACAGAAGTGAATATTATAACTGTGTCGACAGAACAGTTAATCCTGTTTGACAAAAAAAAAACATTCCCAGCACCACTGTCTGCATCTTCAAGATTGTTTAAATTGTAAGTGCTGCACTTACACAGCAGTGTTATCTCAAATATTCCAGCAAAATGGCTCTTGTCGTTTGATTACATGGTCCAGCACTTAAATGCATTTTCACTCTCATTGCTTCCAGTGGTGTTTCTTTTAGTAGTTTTGTCATGAACATTGAGCAGGTTACGTAATAAATGCAAAGCCAATTTTTTATTTATTTTTTGTTCCTGTATTTCACATCTATTTCTCCTCGTGTTTCTTTACTGAAGTGAAACAATCGGTTAATAAGAAAAAGGGTTTATTAAAAATAAAAAAGCCGATTACTGCAAATTTCAAGTTATAAGTGAGCGTCTGCTGATATATTTTAATCTCATAGAGTATTTATTTTAGTCTATTTTAGAAAACTAACATTGGGAATCAGGAAATTGTGATAGTTGCTGTTCACTTCTATATAACATTTAGCATTCCCTTAGTCAGTCACTATAATTAAGAAAACAATTTTTAATTAAAATGATTACTTTCAGCCCTGCCTTTCACCAGAAGCACTCTTGTGAAATTAATGGGCATTATGAGTAATAAACTGTTAATATTATAATTTTTTTACACTTTGGAGTGATTTTTGTGTGAAGCACATCTCGTATGTGTTACCTGGGGACAGTGACGTGTTGATTATCTGTTCCCAGTTGGATTTGATTGATTTATCCTTCTGTTTGTTGACAGTAAGAGCGACTATCATGGCTTAAGTGTGATCCATTGGCAGCCAACACAGCCGTAGTGCTATGTCAGTAAGCTAAGCATCACAGTGATCCCTTTTTGTTGTGGCCGGTGAGCCGTTGATCCGTGCGAAGTGTAGTATCTTGGCACAGGGTCTGAAAAGGCTGCTTGGGCCAGCTGTTTGATTCTCTCACCTCGCTGTGAGTGACGAGACAAAGGTGGTGGAGGGTGAGTGCCATCCAGCCAGATGTTGAAACTCAAGAGAGTTGGACGGCTCTGATCTGGCCTGTCACCTGGTCTTTTGCGCCTGCTGCTAACTTTGCGCTGTATTAATTACAAGAGTGACTGTTCCTGTCCCGGAACTACATGCACAGCCTTGGAACGCTAACAGTCACGTCGTGTATGTGTGTTTGTGTGATTAAAGGTTGAGCAAATTGCTCCACAAGCTTTGCTAACAAAATGTATTGTAGGACAGAGTTACATAAGACACAATCACTGTGTCCGTGGTATAGTCAAAGCTCACTGTCTCTTGCGTTATCAAACAAAGTTGACCCAAAAGGTATTTTGAAGCAGCAACAAAAGCTATGGGGTGTCTGAGTTTATTATTCTGAAAATGAATATCAATTTGCCTAACCCTTTAAGGCTAATGCACTGTTCAGCTCAGCAAACGTGACAGAGACGTCAGTGACTACAGTCCCCATCGAGTGCAATCAGCTGTTTGGTTGAAAAAGCCCTTCTTGAGTGGACAAGTCAAGAGTTGCAGTAATGGACTGGATTGAAAGGATGAGACAATAATAGGGTCTCTATTTTAAATTGATGCCTTCCTGAAGCAGAGCGCATCTGTTAGCAGTTGTAGGGTGTGTAAGAAATTCTTGTAATATGCCGTATAGTCTGCAATAAAAATGTTAGCTCCTCAATTTAAGTGTTCTGAGTGAGAAATGTATGCAAGCTATACATGTTGCCCTAACAATGCAGTGACAAAAAAAGGCAGAAATCTCCTTTTACAGCCAACACTTGTTTAAAAGTCTTCGTAGTCCTGCAGTCAATTTAATTTGTTTTAATTGAAAGATAATTTATTACAAGGTATTGTTATAATTGATAATTGATTTTAGTAATAAAGAGGGAATACACATATGCTGTTTTAGTCTACTTAAATGTAGACTCAGAATTTCTGTATCATTTATTTTAAACCCAGACTTTCAGTTTTTTTTCCATTAATTTGAAGATGCCACTTGGACTTTGGGAAATCCGTCTCACTTTTTTCACATTTTGACACTTAAAAGACTAAACTAAAGGAATAGAGGATCGATTTTCTACACAGAAAACAGGCAATATAATTCCATGTTCAGAACGGAGATTGTATTGGCTTTAAGCTGTTCTGCCTATCACAGGTTTGGATAATGAATGACTCAGTAAGCCAGGAACGTCAGCACACTCTGTCAAAGTAATCAAATGTAATTGCTGTTTTCAGTGGGCTGTTTGTCTCTTCTTTTGAGATGCAGCGGTAAAGTGGCTGCCTTTTCTGGTGAGTTCCACCTGAAGATTTAAGTTCATGCTAAATCTGACACTGACGCAGGCATTAGCACAGTTTTAGTCAGTTGGATCTTTAACTGTTCCTTCACACCAGCTTTACTTTAGCAACGTCATCCATAACTGCCAGGGACTCGTGGTGTGATTATGGAGCTAATGGGGCGGGCCTTGTCATCAGATGCTGGCCGTCTGTTAACATGCAGCCTATTCAGAGGCTGATTGAACACGTCTGTCTTCATCAGGGGAGATGCAACAATGAAATCGGGCCATATTGAGCTGAATTGGACTTAATTCCAGGGCTAAACTATTTTATTAACATATAATCAGAACCACAATGTGCTGATTAGGGTCGTAACACTATACACTATGCTATGGAATTCAGATAACACACATTCCTCCTTTTTGAGTGCCTTCTGGCCTCAAGCGTATTTCCCTCTTAGTCGTCAATTGTTTTTTTTCCTACCCGAGCAATGGGTTAAAGTGGTTCCTGCTCTGTGGTCCTTTAGCTGATGGTCTGTAAATCCTCATGCTGTTTTATGAAGTAAAACTTCTAGCTTGTCAGAAATATTCTTTTATACCGACTATGAAACGTTATTTAACTTGGCAGAGAATATTCAGACAGTTTTGTTAGTAGTGAAGAAAATAAAAGCATGAAGAAGAGAGAGCCTTTATGTTGCACTTGACAGCTGTCAAAAATATTACCAAGGCATTAGAGGCATTCTGTGTCCCGTTGAATCAGCTTATAGAGTCAGTGGTTTCCTGAAAGAAATAGCAACTCAGGACTTTTTTTTCTGAAGGTATTACCAACAAACAGCTGTTCAAGCTGACTGATTTCCTTCTCTCTTCAGAGACATTACGCGTGTCTATGTGAACTTTAACTTTGTTTTAATCCCCAATAAAGGGTGACAGCAATGTACTGCTAGTTGCCAAAACAGCCTAAGGCAAAAGCGTTTGTCTATGACTCAAATAGGAAGAGGGTCCGCCTTATGGGTAATGGTGTCCTCAGTGGTCAAAATGACAATTATATGAATATTTTTATACTAAAATTTACGTTAGAAGTACCAGATAAAATGATTGGTTGTCTAGTAGTAATTAAAACAGGAATTTTGATGAAGTGAAATTATTAATAAAAATGTACAACAGTAAGGTTGCTTGGCATCAGCAGCAGTGACAAAATAAAATCATGTGCCATGTGATATTTTGCAATGATCCTTTATGGTTTAGGCATGACTAATGTCAATCCACAATGCTGAGCTTTCAAGTTTATGTACATTACTCGGCAAATTTGGCTCGCCGTCTATTTCGAGCATGGTAAAGGTGTCGCTGGCATACTTGCACGGTCAGAGCTCACCAACAGGACGGACACATGCTCCAGATTAATCACCTGTTTTTATGGGTGATACAGCAGTAAGCACGCAACTGTCGCTAGTCTGGCTCTGCATGAATTGTCAGCTGCTTCAGGGCGTCTTGAAGCACGAGGAGCTGCCACATTGCAGGGTTGTTTGTGGAAGCTCGGCAAAAGGCTTCCCTACAGTTTGGGAGCACTCTGCTGGCTGGTATGGGAAGCAAAGCGTGTCAGTTTTAGCAGAGTAACCTTCAGTATTTCTGAGTCAGTACATAATTAATAGTGTTTTTGGTATTGGTAAAAATTCCCTTTTTTGATATGATGGTAAAATCAGCAAT